TATCTGAAATCCGCTGAAAGTGGAAATATCGGGGGACAATGTAATCTTGGATATTGTTATGAAAAGGGAATTGGAACCACTCAAGACTACGAGAAAGCTTTTCAATGGTATCTGAAATCTGCTGAAGGTGGACATATCGGGGGACAATGTAATCTTGGATATTGTTATGAAAAGGGAATTGGAATCATTCGAGACTACGATAAAGCTTTTCATTGGTATCAGAAATCTGCTGAAGGTGGAAATATTGGGGGACAATGTAATCTTGGATATTGTTATGAAAAGGGAATTGGAACCACTCGAGACTATGAGAAAGCTTTTCAATGGTATCTGAAATCTGCGGAAGGTGGAGATCATATGGGACAATGTAATCTTGGATATTGTTATGAAAAGGGAAATGGAACCATTCAAGACTACGAGGAAGCTTTTCATTGGTATCTGAAATCTGCGGAAGGTGGGATTATCAGGGGACAATTTAATCTTGGATATTTTTATTATCATGGAATTGGAACCACTCGAGACTACCAGAAAGCTTTTTATTGGTGTGTGAAATCTGCGGAAGGTGGAATTATCAGGGGACAATTTAATCTTGGAAAAGGGAATTGGAACCACTCGAGACTACGAGAAAGTTTTTCATTGGTATCAGAAATCTGCTGAAGGTGGAGATCATCTGGAACAATGGAATCTTGAATATTGTTATGAAAAGGGAATTTGAATCATTAAAAATAAAGAGAGCAAAATATTGGCTTGAAAAATCTAGAAAATAGATACTAAAGTGAATGCACACTTTTTACAGTATATTGATACTACGTATAATTTTGTGAACGTGATAAATACAAAATATCAAGCTAACCAATTACTTTATATTATTTCATTTATTGCAATTTCAATACCTCTTTTTTTGTAAAAAAGTTTTCAACATTTAATAATAATTAAGAATGAAGCTTTGACTAATTTTAAAGGAGAAAGAAAACAAAAACCAAAATTAATTTAAGTCTAGCGGTTCAAAAATTCAATAGCTATTATAAACTTTGTTATTAGAATATAAAATACACGTCTTCCTCAGGTTTATCAAAAAATAAAAAAGACAATGAAAGGCTCATACAGATATTGTATAATTAGCAACTAAATAAAAACAAGGAAAAATATATCAAAAAAACGCCGAAAATTTGAAAAGTAATATAAAACAATAAACAAAGGAAATTAAAGTCTTAAGGATTTGCAGAGAAAGAAAAAATACTGTTAGTTTCCCTCATGCCTTGATGTTTGAGTGAAATCCACCTGATTTTCATTCAAATAACGCATTATATTTGCAAGTTGTAAGATGCCTTCGTACATATTCTATATGTGTAGAGACAACAAATCAAGTAACGCCTTATAATATTTATTAATTGCTCGAAAGGATAAGCATTAATGGTTCGAAAATTTCCAAGTGGGAAATTCGGTTAATGATCTCATTTTCTGTCGTCTAATTAATAATGTTCAGGTGTTTGATCGGAAGCAGCATCTCTGAAATATTAATAATTTTTGCAAGAAAAATTTCTCCATGGGTTAGTATACATTAACGTTCTGAAAAAACAATTTCACTCCGATGCATCCACACACGACGCATATATGAAAAATACATGAACTGATATTAGATGATGAACTTATTTGATGATTGAAATGAGTAACGTAAAACGATGGGAACGCGACATTGTGGCGCGTCGTATAACAATAGTGTCGGTGATGGTGGAATGATGTAATAATTGGTAATGGCATGTATGCTACTTTACTTCGCACAATAAACATTGTACACCCCTCGAAGTATAAACCAGGTCTACGCCACTACATTAAAGTAAACGACTTTAAGAGAGACGCGACGTTACCTTTGTGCACTGTAAGAGAGTGACACCTGTAATCTTGAGACGCGCCTAGGGAAAGACGGTCAAGAAGAGATTAGCAAGTGCGCGAAAGTCGGTCAAATTGTAATCTGCCTCGGAGTTAAAGACTTACCTTATTTAGTGCCAAAATCCAAGCGTTCGATTATCGTCACGTGAAGAGTGAGCCGTTTTAGCAACAGACTCGCCAATGACGACATGTTTGAATAAATTGAGAAAAATATTCATAAATACAAAAGTAAAATGTAGCAATACAGTTAATATTTTACCTAATAAGCCAATTAAGGAGTTTACTATGTGGCTAATATTCAATATCTGTTTTATTCGCTTCAGAGATTACAAAGAATTCTTCACGGGGTTCCTCACGAGGAATTCATTATGGAGTTCATCTCGGTCAGATTTACTGATGATTCTATGTGAAAAAGCGAGAGAATTGGAGAGCAAAAAATAAGAATAACAGTATATTTAATCAATATTGCAGTACTAACTTTGTTGTTAAGCTCTTAGCAACATCCGCAAGGCTTTGCTTCTTCTTTGCTCATTTAAAAAAAAAATAACAACCGGTGATTTCTCGTTTGCGTAAAATTTTCATTCAAGTGTAAAAACTCGGTTGTTTATTTTTAATTCTTCAGGTTAAATAGGTGAAGTCAGTGTGTCATTATCTAGTGGAAATACAATTAATGACAACTTAATACACTACACAATTGATCACTATATTCTTTTTTCTGACTTTCATCTACTTCAGCCCAAAAATACTGATATTTATGGAAATATTGTAATAGTGAGATTTTTATCTGTCTTTTTCGTATGGGTTCTTCCCTCACGGAGCGTAAAGTAAAGAAATTTGCTTCACAGATGAAATTGCTTGAAGACCTGCTTGTCAACTTGTAAGAGCTCGTTTGACAACGTTTCCTCAACTTTAGAGTAAAAGAGGTGAAATGCTTGGAAACTACTTATTAACTAGAACGACCCTTCTCAATGATTTGCTTTCTGACATCCAAAATACTGCGGTTCATCATGCATGAGCTCAATTCTCGATAGACTTGTTTCTTCGATAAGATACAATATAAGAGAGTATAAAGAAAGTGCATAAAAAACTAAGGTAGAGAAATTGTTATGAGAGACAATGATAAGGAAATGTAAGTAAAGAGGAGGAGAAAACGAATGATGTTAAAATGATAATTAAAGGTTTACTATCATGGTATTGGAGATGGATTGGAGAAATAGGAAATAGAAAACTAATGTTAAATAGTAGTGATTAGGGTAGTTGAGAGTAAGTACTGTACCTGTACTGTATTTAACAGCGTAGCACTATTTACCATTTTGTCTCTTCATATACTAATAAAATCTGTTGTTATATCAGTTATTTATTAAATCAAAATCAATTATATTTAATTCGTGGAATTTTACCGTTATTGATGCGCACGGTTCCGATCTTTCAGTGTATTCGATTCTATTTATATGCTTTACCAAAGGAAATCAACCACAGATGTGCTAGTAAATTATTTGTTGTATCACAAGATGCTTCAAACTAAGAGTTAAAATTACCACTAAACTAAAAGTTCTACTCCTCCCAAAATAATAAAAAAAAGTTCTGGCTAAAATATCAGAGTTGAGGTTATCATTAGTAACCAAGAGTTCGAGACCTCTCTATTCCTTACTATAAACTAAAATATCCAGTTATAAATGTTCTCTCGAGCTTTTGTTCTATACATTCCATCGGGTTCGATTAGGTAAATATTCAATACACCCGTTTGATTCGTGAGAATTGATAAAAAATCACACAGTTCTGGGACAACCGCAACAAGGAAACAAAGCTGACTTCCATGCGCATTATCGATTGTTATATAGCCAAACCTAAAACCTGCTACTCACGAGAATTTTTTGATAGTCAAGTAGGTTTTCCTTGGAATAGTAGTCCATTAAGTTACTGCATTTCGTAAAAAACTTATTGTAACGAAAAAAGTCATGACGATCGATTCGCTACAGAATACTGTATTCTTCTTTGGGAGAGATGATATTCTTTTTGCAAATCATTTCTCGGACTGGCTATTCATATTAATTGACAACAATCATATCTCTTGTCTAGCTCTACAAACAGGGTGATCTTTTCACCTTTTTCGAATTATACAATAATGAGAAAAGAAATTTGTGATCGTGATAATATTTTTACCACTCCAATGAATCTTATAAAATATTTGCTTTCTATTTAAAAAATGTTATTGTAACCTTGATTTAAAATGAGTCCGAGAAAAAAGCTTTGTTCTATCTCTAACAAATATTACCAGATGTTTAAATGTATTCGTAACCGGGAGCGTTTTTACCTTAATTTTTTTTCTTTACAAGAGCTCTGATCAATTATTTTCGGTGAAGGTTTTGACAGCACTATTGATATGATCCTAAAACTTTGTATTGTATACGTATGGTTTGAAAATTGGGTCCAAAGAATTACATTTAACATTTTCGTTTGTCGTCTCCAAAGATAAATTCTCATGTTTTATATAAGCAAAAAAATTTCTGTCATTAAAATCATCTCGTTTTTTTTTTTGTTTTCTTAAATTAATAAAATAATCATAAGGTAAGACAAAGCTATTGGTAAATAAATTTTATTGACTGTATTAATAATGTTCAATCAGAAATCACGAAAGCCGTGAACCCCCCAAACCATGTCATATCACAAATGTTCGTTATACTTGATTACTAAATAGTCTAAATAAAAAACCCCCAAAATTTTAATTAAGTTAATAATATTAAGATTATTTCATTATGTTTAATTTTCTATCATTCTTTGGTTTTTGTTTTTTTTTTTTTGCGACAATTAATCTAAAGTGGCAAAAAGGTGTTTTATGGAATAAGAAAAATAACGAGAAATCTATCTAACATTATCAAAAAACTCATAAGGATAGGCTAACCTCAGTAAAATTATAAAGGTTTATTTATAATATATATATATATATATATATTTACACAAATACGTTCCTTGGATAGGATTTAATTTAATTTTTTCAAAAATGAGACGTGAAATTTGATTTAAAGTTTTTATTAGTTCTATATACAACCAACCGATTAGCATTTCTAAGGATGCAAGGAAGGCACCTATTTATACTAATCTCAATGTTTAGATTACCATCTTCTAGGAAATCGTTTATTATTTTGACTGGGTGCGGATTCTCTTCTACGAAAATCCATTCGAGGACTCATGTGTCTTTTATTTCGATTCTCTTCTCGTCCAGGAGCTTGGACTTCTCTTTCTTGACCAACCGATAGAATGTTATATCTTCTTTTATTTGTAGGCCTCGAAAGCTTCCTAACACGTTCATCAACACATTCTACAGGTCGATCTATTTTTCCAAGACGGTCACTAATGGATGATTTTTTTCCATCACGTTTGAAAGAATAATTTACGCGTTCTTGATTATCATAAGATAAGTTGTGAATATGACCTTCACGCTTGTTATTAGACCGTAAATTTCTCTCATATTTCCAGCGTGGTGAATAGGAACCATTATCGGAGCTGTCTTGATAAAAGTTATTGTCGGGGCTGTCTTGATAAAAATTATTCTCGGGGATGTCATGATAAAAACTATTTTCGGGAACGTCATGATAAAAACTATGCTCGGGGACATCATGGTAAAAACTATGTTCGGGGACGTCCTGATAAAAACTATTCTCGAGGACGTCATGATAAAAATTATTATCAGGGCTGTCTTGATAAAAATGAGAAAAATAAAGTGGATCGTTTTGAGGATCTTTTTGACGTGCAGGTTTTCCATTCTTTCGGAGGAATCTAACGTTATTTTTTCGGTAAGGCAAATGAAAATTACGTTCACGGTGAAAAGTCCATTCTTGTTCATTTGTCGATCTCATCTGTTTTCGAGTTAATTTTACTGATTTTTTTCCTTCAACTAAAGGACGGTGAGTTTCAACAAATTGGTTATTAACTACATTACGGTTAGTTTTATTACGACTAATCTCATTGTGATTGATCTTATTGCGAATAATCTTATTACGAGCAGATTCATTGCGACCAATCTCATTACGAGCAGATTCATTGCGACTAATCTCACTACGAACAGATTCATTGCGACTAATCTCATCACAAGCAGACTCATTGCGATCATTCTCATTACAGGAAGATTCATTGCGACCAATCTCACCACGAGCAAATTCATTGCGACTGGTCTCATTATGAACAAACTCATTTCGACTTATCTCATTATCAACATGTTCATTGTGTTTGATTTCTTTACGAACAGATTCATTGCGGTCAGTCTCATTACGAATCGACCCATTGCGGCTGGTCTCATCATGAACAGATTCATTGTGGTTTTTCTCGTTACGAATCGATTCATTTTGATTGGTCTCATTACGAACGGATTCCTTGTGATTGATCTCATTACGAACAGATTCCTTGTGATTGATCTCATTACGAACAGATTCCTTGTGATTGACCTCATTACGAACAGATTCAATGTGATTAGTCTCATTGCGAACAGATTCATTGTGATTAGCCTCGTTTCGAATTGATTCGTAGTGATTAGTTTCATTACGAACAGATTCATTGTGATTAGTCTCGTTACGAATAGATTCATTTCGGTTAGTCTCTTTACGACCAGATTCATTGCGACTAGTCTCGTTACGAATAGATTCATTTCGGTTAGTCTCTTTACGACCAGATTCATTGCGACTAGTCTCGTTACGAACAGGCTCATTGCGACTGACCCCATTACGAATGGATTCATTTCGACTGATCTCATGACAAACAGATTCATTAAGATCTATATCCTTACGAACAGATTCATTGCAGCTAATCTCCTTACGAACGGATTCATTGCAGCTGGTCTCCTTACGAACAGATTCATTGCAGCTGGTCTCCTTACGGACAGATTCAATGTGGTTGATCTCATTACGAACAGATTCATTGCGACTGGTCTCCTTACGTACAGATTCATTGCTGTTGGTCTCCTTACGTACAGATTCATCGTTATTCGTCTCCTTACGTACAGATTCATCGTTATTCGTCTCCTTACGTATAGATTCATTGTGATTAATCTCCTTACGTGCAGATTCATTGTGATTAATCTCCTTACGAACAGGTTCATTGCGATTACGATAACGTGTTCTATCTTCTTTATCCTGTTCTTTTGGGGACTTGTCGCGGTTAATTGAGGCTTCTACACTCTTCCGGGATGGTGAGGGAGTACTTTGCGGACGTGAAGTGGAATGTGATCGATCCTCAACATTACTTTTATTGCGAATCCGAGATAATTGTTTGTCGTTATTTCGATCTGGCGACTTCGAGCGAGATCTAAGTGAACTCTTTCGTTCTTTCTGCCGAGTTGGAGAATCATCCTTTCTTGACCTCGAAGACTCCTGTATAAAGTTTAATATTTAATAAAAAAATTTTTAAAGCTAAAAAATTATGAAATACCATCATTACCTCATCAGATTCTTGGGATACACTATCTGTAACAAAAATACTTCTTGAAAAAAATTCTACGGATGCCTAATCAAATGAAGAGGAATATCTTTAGCAGACATTAAATGACATAAATCAATGTATTAATTGATATTCATTACATTTGTGTATACAGCTCTTGCTTTTGCATCACTGATCAGTGCTTCCCACGCTTTATTATGAACCAAGGATTTTTGACATCCAAATATCCATAGTGAGCGCTTAGCACGAGTCATTGCAACATTCATTCGTCGAATATCCCCCAGAAATCCTAGAGTTTTGTCTATTTGAAATAATTTTACTGTAAACACATTTTCTGGATTTATCATTAGCTAATAAAGTGATCAAAAAAAACCAAATTATACCTTCTCCCGCACGAACGCAAGAGAACATAATTATTTCCTTTTCCCTCCCTTGAAATCCGTCCTAAATAATCACAACGATAGTGTAAATTCTTTTTAATGTCAACTCTATCAAGCAACAAATTGATATGTGTCAATCAGCTTACCACTGTTTTAATTTCCGGTACCTTCATTTTGTAAGGTAGTAAATCATGCACTCTCCCAAATTCAATTTCGAGTTGAAGCTTTTGTTTCTTGTAGGGAGTAATTACACCGATTAAGGAACTCCACTAAAAATTCGCTAAAACGGTAAGTCCCAAATAAATTAATTGTATTATTCCAACAGCTACTCACGTTCTTGATATCAGGAAAATCTAGAACCAATCTTCTATATGCACTAGCTAAAACTCGAGCTTCAACAGGGTTGTATAATGAATGATTCTTATCTTGCTCCATTTCGCTCTGAGCAACATTATAAAATCTATAAGGAGCATACAGAATATTGGCATGCCATGGCCGGATGAGATCACTTTCGATTTCTGGAGCGTCCTTCAATAAATTATTATAGAAGTAGGAACCGGGGAAATTACTAATTAAGGGGTGCATTCTGTACTGGGTGTTGAGCATCATGATAGACTCTTTGTTTTTAAAATTATTCCGAATTCTTACAAAGAGACTTTGCTCGTATGAATGTTGTGTAGCAACGTGTGAAAGAACTGTCGGAGGAAGTTGATTAGGATCGCCAACTAAAACACACCGCCTTGGATTGAATTTGAGTGGAATCAAAGTGTTAAGCTCAACTGCCTGTGCTGCCTCATCGATAATAACGGTATCAAATTCATTAAAGATGTTTAAGATTTCATGTCCGCTTCCCGTTAATGTCGAGCAAATAATATCTGCACTTGATAAAATTTCTTGTTTTGCAGTGATGATGGAACTATTTCTTGAAATCTTTTCTGCCTGGTAATCAAGAGTTTTATGCTTGACATCCTCATGGCAATTTTCTGGAGATCCGATCCTGACAACATTTACCCTATTCAACTTTCCATATGAATTATATATTCCGTTCATCAGCCTTTTCACCAATTCATCGACTGCAGCATTGCTTGGAGCACACACCAAAATCTTTCCACTTGAATTAAAGGCGAAAACAGCAGAGATTATGCCTACAATAGTGCTAGTTTTCCCTGTACCCGGAGGTCCTTGGATCAATGAAAACCCAGGTTTTCCTTTAACAACTCTCAATATAGCCCGAGCTTGTGATTCATTAACATTGTATATGTGCTTATAGAGAACTATGTCATCATATGAAATTGGTGGTATTTCGTTTTCAAATGGTTTGAGAATAAAATCTTTCGTAACAAAATTTGAGAGAGAAGTCAATGCATCGTATTCTCGAGTAAGTGGTTTCAGACTTATGATCTTCGAAGCTCTCCATTCGCTATTAACCCCTAGGCTGGATTTGATGTTTTTCGGATCGGTACCAAAAAAACATTTTAATGTTAACCCAGCATTCGATCTATCAGTCTTCACTGATTTGACGAGTGCCAAAAAATTTTTGGGCGGCCGGTATTCTTCTTTTTGAGTTATGTACATGAGATCATTTTCAGTGAGCTTTTTGAATAACAACGATTCCTTTCTTACTGGCATTAATTGAATCTCCACAAAGTCATCAACCATCGTTATTGACTGAAGTTTATACATGAGCTGATTTACTTCATCGATTTCTTCCATCGAATCAATTAAACGTTGCCAAAATTCAAGTAATAGTAGCGGCTCAAACGTAGTAATATATTCTTCCACAGAATTAAAATCATTTGGTATATCTCTATATTCTCTTGTGGTGACATTTGGAGGGAAGTCGTCTCTTAAATCAATATCCCATAACAATATTTGCTTGTGCAAAGATGACAATAATGAAGGATTCTGAAGCTTAGGAGGGCCCCTAAATTCTTTTAATTCTCCTGATCGCATCGAGGAAGTGTTGGCTTCACTTTTTGAACTAAAACTATTATTGCAACTTTGAGATTCTGAATCGTTTTTTATGGATATTTGTTCTTGAGACCGTTCGACATTTTTATAAACAGAGTCTACTGATTCTTCAATAGTTAAGTTCGACAATTGACCTTTTTCCGCAGAAAATGGGATCGCCTTAAATCTCGTTATATCTTTGTTGTTTACTTTCTGCCTTTTTGATAAATGTTGAACTAATGCCATCTCGTTGCCTCTATCAAAAAAGTCATCTTGAATGGTTCTTTTGTTAATATTTGAAACGTCAGAGCGATCGCAACTGACTTCCGAAGAATCCATAGTTTCACGCCTAGACATAGATGCCTTTTTCTTTATCGCTTTGCGAAAACTCAACGTGCTTTTTTCCAATAAGTCCGTGGTATTATTATTTGAGGAGCTTGAACCATCCACACTGGTATCCGTATCCGAAATGTTAAAAGTAACCCTTTTAACTACTTTAGCTGGGGATAAATCATTACTTAAGTTTACAGCGGTTGCTTTTTTTAGTGCCGGTCGGTTTGCTTGTGTGCTTATACCCTTTTCTGATGTTTTCAATTTTTCGCTAAGCGTAACTGAATAATCGATTATTATATCATTGATAGATGGAAGGCCTTTTTTTGAACGAGAACTTTCAGAAGATGATAGCATAATGTTGCTTTTCAAAGGACTCTCTGGTATATATATATCTTCTTGATCTAATTTCTTCGTTAAATTGGGTTTTGATGTTAGGCGCCCGAGTACCGGAATAGTATCTTGTGGTATCTCCCCTGGTATTGTATTTCGACTTCCAGAGTGATCCGACTCGTCTTCTATGGGAATATTTGGACCTGGAAAACCATCATGAATATCAAAATTTATTGATTCCTCTGATATATCATCGTAGCTTCCTATAAACGATTCCACTACATCGCATGATGAATTAGATACATACGAAGGAGAAATAGTAGTTGATTGTAGATCCAACTCGGATTTCTCTGAAGTTAGAACTTCATCAGTTGGTGTAGCCTCAAAAAGTTGTGCTTCTATGCTAGCATTTTCAACTTGTTCCATTGAATCTTCGAATTTCTCCAAAATAATTATGGAATCACAATCCGAATCCAACAATTCATCTTCACTGGATAGAAGCTCCACAGAGTTTTCATTGAGAAATTCTGGGATATGATTCCCCAACGCTCGACTCAACTCTCGTAGTTCACTCTCATTTAATATATTTTCTGAATTTAAAAAGGTCGACAATTTTACATATAATTTTGCCTCAATGACACATTTCTGAACAATCAGGAAATCAAGAATTTCCACGGTCTTTTGGACAGCCACCTTGAGTAAATCTTTGTCATTAAATTCGAGTGCCGTGCACAAAATAGAGAAATATAGTTTCTGAGTATCGTTCAATGAAATTGATGATTTCAAAGTAGGATCTTCAAGTGCTTTGAGAGTAACGGTCGCGAGATTCAAAAATTCTAGCAAAAGATTTTTAATTTCATTCTTTCTCATTATCATTGCCATTCGGTCCCACTTTGCGCACATCTGAAAAACCTTAGAGTATCCAATCCATGATATATTCCAGAATTCTAGAGCAAGGTTTTTGTCATCTTGTCTATCTTTACTTTTAAATATACCTTTTGTTCCGAATATCAGTGGAAAAAATCTATTCAAGAGATCCTTTATGCAAATAGCTAGCTTCAGAGTATCACATCCAACATCGGTCCATTGGAGAAAAATATTAATAGTTTCTATAAGTCCTTGAATAGTTGATTTTGTGCTCTCTCTAATTAATTTATTATAGGAGTCCTCAACATATAACCTTTTTAGAATCACCAACCCAGACATCATTAATTTTGCATCGGGTGAAGATAAAAGATGAATGATCGAAAAAGAAATGCTATTTACAGGTAAAATAGTTGTCAATTGTTTTGTATCAATCTTCTGCAGTTTTTCCAAAAATGCATTCATATGTTCATTTGTAATCGATATTGACTCAGCCAAAGTATCGGTTAAATTATCTTTTTTAATACTTGTCTGGTTTGTATCCAAAATATTGTCCATAAGCGCAATCTTGTTAAAAAATTCCATGAATGAAAGAACTGTAGCACTGGTGTTAGAAGTCAATATGTTTTCTGACGCATACTTGAAGAGATTTCTCCATACTATGCATCTTAATTGATAATCCAGCTTCGTAACATTGTCCATATCTGTTATTCTATTAGTCTCACAGTATACATCATTTATCTTTGATGAATCTTCCCTTAGCATCACCAACCAAATTGGTTCCTCCGGAGAATCAGTGTCCGAGTCTTGTTCCGATGATCTTTTTTTTGGATATGCAGTGCGCAATACTTTTAAAGCCAAAACCAACGAAGTACATAAACTTGATGATGGGCGGGTCATTTTATTTATTGAGAAAAATGTGTCGAATATAAGTTGAACAAAAGCGGGCGCTTGATTTGAGATTAGTCTCCAAAATTCGTTACCAACTTTTTCCAAAATGATTGAAAAGCAATTTATCATCTCAATAAAACTTGATTCAACGGCATAGGGTAGATAATTGATGAAAGCGGTTATAATGTTCGATTTTCCTCTAACAAAGAAATCCGTGATTATTTCCTTCTCCATTTTAAGTAGGATCATCTCGACACCTTTCCAGGATAGCAGGATATCATTGGTGAAAGGATATTGTGTGTAAAATCCCGTTGAAAATGTATTTAATTCAACGAAGTATGACAATATACTGCAAATCACCGAATCAAATTCTTCTTCCAAAACTTCGCTCAAGTTAAGTGCAAGATTCATATTCATATTTAGGAATGTTGACCATGCCCAGCTCTGTATCTCGTGATTTTCATGTAAAGAAGCAATAAATACACCAGGAAGAAAGTAATCCGTTGGTTGAGGACAATTTCCTCGTTGAATAAGCATCGTTACTACTTCAACAAATAACTTGTTTAAACTTTTTTGTTGAAGTGATCTTGGAAAGCAAAGAACTTCGAATATCGATGAAATATTGTTTGGATCTGAGGATCTATCCTCAATGCCTAGCAACTCTTGAGAATCCATGGTACCTAGCCCAAGAAGACTTTGTTTGAGTTTTGCTAGATTTTTCCGTATTCGTGCCATACAATACGATTCTATCTTATTACGAAACGATTCAATTGACGTCTCATCGTACATTCCCTTCCATCTGCATGCAAACATATGTAATATTACGAATTTTGATTTAACCATATGAACATATAATTCTAACCATATTTACCTTTGAATAAGTTTTCTCATTTTTTTGTGATACACCCTAACACAATCAATGCATTGGTTCATTTGAAAGTCTACAATTTCCCGAAACATCCCAACATCATCATCGGGCCTCTCGACTAAAAACAACGGCGTCATTTCAATAACAATATCCGCCAATTCAGGGGTGCATAACAAGTGCTTTGAGAAATTCGTTTTGTATTGATTAAGGACATAATGAAGAGAAGCGTCAAAAAAAGCCGATGAATATTTTTTTTCTTGAGGATTCGACAACTTAGCATTCAATAGCATAATGATGTTTTTATATTCGGGATTACTTTGCGAGGGACGATGATGAGCTTCCATCATTGTAACTCTGAATAAAGAAAACAAGATGCAAATTTAAAAAAACAAATCTCATTATCATAACAATTTAAACGATAGAATGCAAATTGAGTCAATGGTTTTAATACCTCACTACCCGTATACTCTTCTTATAATTTTCTATATCTTCTGTCGAAAAAAAGATTCAATGCAAATCATGCACTTATTCACACCTGTAACACTCGTACGTTATCGCATACATGGTAATTATGTAATTAGTGTTACGTATATCAATCATTGCATTCGGCAAATAGAATTGCGATAAATTCATGTGTTACCTGCAGCCTCATGTATAGACCCGCCATAATAAAAAAACAGGTTGGTTTCTATTTATAGAAACAGCCGTGTAATACGATTGCATAAAGAATTAATTTCATTATTTTTTACTATTTAAATAATCAATTTTTAATAAATGTATGCAATATATTAATTTTTTTTAAATAATAAATAAAATATTAACAATACTATATTATATGCATTCGATTATAATTAAATTATATGTTAAATTTATTAATTATTGATTTATTAATAATCTACAAACAATTATTTTAATTATTATTGTAAATAAAATATTTATTTGTTTACGTATTTATTATTCAATATTAAAAATCAATATAAAATCATAATTCATAAAATATGTAATTGGAAATTGTTATTATTTTTAAATTAATTAAATCAAATAAATTTTTTTTAAAAAAAAATAATTATAAATAAATCGATTTTTATAAAAATTTATTAGATTAATTAAATATAAATAATTTTAATTTAATATTAAATCAAACATCAATTTATATAAAAATATAATTATATAAAATACATATTGAAATATAAATAATTTTAAATAGAAAAACATATACAGTGTAGGTCAAAAATAATTGAATTGATTTTTTTTATTATAATTCAATAAATTATAATTTAATTAAAATAAAATTTTAAATATATATATTTTATAATCTAATTAATAAAATATTAAAGTTTTATTAATACTTAATTAATAAATTTATTAGAAATATTGATTTAAAGTCAAAAAAAAAAATTAAAAAATACATTATAAATTTTATATATAAATTTATATATAAAATATAAATAAAAATTAAAATTTTATTATAAAGAAATTTTTAAAAAAATTAAATATAAAAATAAATAAAAGTTTTAAGCTTATGAAAAAATTATAAAGGATTCATTATTATATTTAATAGATATTATTAAAATTGATTTATTTTTTATTATATAAAATTATTTTCAAGAAATCTTTAAAAACTTTAAAAACTTTATATTTAATATAAAATTTGTGTTTTTTTAGTAAAATTTAATTAAAATTTGAGTCAAATTAATTATTAAATAATTTTTTATACTTAATTAAAAAAGAATAATAATCATATTATTATTATTATGACTTTTATTTAACAAATTCATGTATTGAAATAATTTTAATAATAATTAATATTTTTTATTTTGTAATATAATTAAAAATAATTATTTTTTTAAAAAAAAGTTTTTTAAAATTAAAATTCAAGAAAATTTTAATAAGTTATTTTAAAAACTTTATTAAATAAACTTGTTTTTTATATTTTTAAATATATCAATATAAATTTTTATCTTATTTTATCAATTAGTTATTGAAATATTACAAAAATAAAAATTAATATATTGTTTAATTATTTTTAATCTATACTATATAATATAAAATTATATTAAGTCAATCAAATATAAAAAAAAATTATTAAAATATAAATTTAACTAGTAATATGAATTATATAAAAAACTTGCTTTGATAAAGATTTAAAATATTAACTAATATATTAAAAGTATATAGTAATAAACAATTTTATTATTATAAAATTGTTTTTATTTTATTTAATTTTTAAATTTTACTAAAAAACAATATAAAACAATTATAATATATATTATTTATAATAATAAAAAATAGTATATTAAAGTTTTATCAATATTTAATTAAGAATTTATTTTAAAATATCAATTTAAAGTTAAAAAATTTTTTTAAAATAATTTCAAATTTCAAATATAATTTATATAATAAATTTTTTAAAAAAAATAATTATAAATTTAAAAAAAATATTAAAATTATTTTATTCTTTATTTTGAAAATTAATTTTAAAAAATTTTTAAATTTAATTTAAAACTTAAATAAAATAAAGTTTTTTTTTAATATTAAAATTATAAAAAAATTATTTTATTATAAAATATATTATTTTTTAACAAATTTATCTATTAATAATTTTATTTATTATTAATATTATTATTTTGTAAATAAATATTATTATTTATTAATTAATTATAAGATTGTTTGAATTTTATTTTTTTTATTAATTTAAAAAAAAATACAATTTGAATTATTACAAAAGTAAAAAGGTTCCCTTTAAATAACTATTTTTTATTATATAAATAATTTATAAAAATACATTAATAGAAATATATATTATAAAAAAAAAACTCTCACCCGTTCACCACTGATTTCTTGAAAATTTCCTTATATGGTAATTTTCTTGAAAGAAGC